TCCAGTCTTTCCTCTTTCCATAAAGTTGCTCATTTTATTCAACCTTAATATCATTTAGGGAGTCCTGGTGTGATGCTCTGGATGAATGCACCAGACTGCAGAGCCTTTTGAACTGCAAGGTTCAAGCTCACCAGCTGCTCCTCAGAAACCCTATACAGGGTCGCTATGGGTCGGAACCAACTTGATGGCACTTAACAACAACAACATTATTTAGATGATATTTACATTACCAAGTATTGTAGGGAATGCAAAGTAAAAAAAAAAAAAAGCAGACCCCTCAGCTTAACATAGAGTAAGCAGTTTATAAAGTAGTAGAAAAAAGATCCCGACACTACATGGAACATAGGGAAGAAATTCCTTGTAGATAAGAGGCTGGTAAAGACTTCACCTCAAGAAGGACTGGGAAGGACAGTTTAGGGTCAGCAGACAGCAAGAGCCAGCGATACGGAGGTAGAAAAGATACAAAGAACAGCAAGTTAGGACTTTGGTGGGCTTAATAGAGATGGGGGAGGGATATAGTCAGAATCCCCAAAATTAATTAGACTGTAAGAGGACTTCAAAAAGTTAGTGGAAACATTCCATTATCTTTTCATTCTTTTTTTCTACCAACTTTTTAAAACCCTCTCGTATATATATGGATCTGTTTTTGGACCCTTTCTTTGTAAGTCTATCCTTTTAGAAAAACCGCATTATGTTGATTATCGCAGCTTTATAGTAAATCTTGAGATCAAATAATGTGACCTTTACAAATTTGTTCTTTTTCAAAATTGCTTTGGTTCTTTTGTCTTTCCATATACATTTTAGATTCAGCTTCTCCATGTCTACAAAAAAAAAAAAAAATTGCTGGGATTTTAACTGAGAGTGCATTAAATTTGTAGATCAATTTTGGAGTAACTGATATTTTTGTAATCTCAAATGCTCCAGTCTGTAACTATGATGCATTTTTTCACTTACTTAGTTTATTTTAATGTCTTTAATCAGTGCTTTATAGTTTTTAGCATATAGATTTTATACATGTTTTGTTAGATTTATATACTACAATATTGCTAAGTATTTATTGTTGTTGTTGTTGTTAAGTGCCGTCGAGTCGGTTCCGATCCATAGCGACCCTGTACAGGGTTTCCGAGGGTGTAAATCTTTACGGGAGTAGAAAGCCTCATCTTTTTCCCGCGGAGCAGCTGGTAGTTTCGAACCGCTGACCTTAAGGTTCGCAGCCCAATTCGTAACCACTACACTACCAGAGCTCCTCTGTTAGTCTTAGTAATTTCTTTAGCAGATTCCTTGTAATTATTTTATAGACAGTCTTATTGTTTGCGACTAGACTCTGATTTATTTCTTCCTTTTCTCATTTGTTTATACCATTTTCTTGTCCTATTACATGGTCTTTGTTGTTGTTAAGCACCACTGGATTCTGACTCATAGCTACTTACAGTTTCCCAGGAGCAGTTGGTGGGTTTGAACTTCCAACCTTGTGGTTTGCAGTCCACTACTTATCCTACCGTGCCACACCAGAAGTCCATTACATGGGTTAATACCCTCTATCTTGGCTTTGAACAGGAATGTTGAAAGTAGACATCCTTGCCTTGTTCTAAATCTTATGAAAACATGCAGCCTTTCACTGTCAGGGACGATGCTAGCTATAGGTTTTTCATACGTGCCTTTTATGGGATTAAGGAAATTCCCTTCTAGTCCTAGTTTGCTGAGTGTATTTACAATAAACTGATGTTTCATTTTGTTCTTTTCTTCATCTATTGATATAACCACATGGTTTGTTTTCTCTTGATGTGGTGAATTACAATGAACTCTGGTAGCGTAGTGGTTACGAATCGGGCTGCGAACCTTAAGGTCAGCGGTTCGAAACTACCAGTCGCTCCGCGGGAGAAAGATGAGGCTTTCTACTCCCATAAAGATTTACACCCTCGGAAACCCTGTACAGGGTCGCTATGGGTCGGACCCTACTCGATGGCACTTAACAACAACAACTTTTTATTCTTGGACCAGCTTTGCATCCCCTAGAGAAGCCCCATTTGGCTGAGTAGTATTCCTTATATGAGAGGCTACAAAAAAACTCATGGGAAATGGAACTAAAATTAATAGGAGTTTTCCACAAACTTTTTGAAGTCCTCTTGTATATATTGCTAAATTTAGTTTTTATATATTTTGTTGATTTTTCCCCCCATTCATGAGATATATATTAAAATAACACATTTGGGGGGGAAATCAATACATTGCATATACATCATTACTGAAAGCTATATATCATTACACAAAATGGTATTTTATTTTTGGCAGTTAATTTCTAAATTAAGGAGCTCTGGTAGCGTAGTGGTTACGAATTGGGCTGCGAACCTTAAGGTCAGCGGTTCAAAACTACCAGACGCTCCGTGGGAGAAAGATGAGGCTTTCTATTCCCGTAAGGATTTACACCCTCGGAAACCCTGTACAGGGTCGCTATGGGTCGGAACCGACTCGACGGCACTTAACAACAACAACAACAATTTCTAAATTATGGTAAGTTTCACTTTCAGAAATAAAACCAGAGAACAACATGATCTAATTCAGTCTTTAAGACTGACATACTGAACAAGGAATGTTTTTATTCTTTGTCAGGTACCAAAGTTCTGCTATTTGGACTGATTTTAGCTACCAAGTCATAACAGTAATGTGTTCAAGCACTTTTTCTTTAATTACCTCTTTATGTATGCTTTTGATTGATCCTTCTAACCTAGCTTTCAGTAATTCTTAAAAGAGTTCTCTTTCTCCAATTTCTTTCAACTTTGAATTAATTTTTTGCTGTCATCTGCACAATCTTTGTTGATCTTGCTAATCACAGGTGAGGGCTGTCCCTTCTGAGCAATGAAATAACTTGCGCATATGACTGTTACACCCACCATACTCATCGGCTGCCTATACTTAGCCCCTAGTCTTTTTTGAGGATTTTCATTTGTCTCTTCACAAGATGGATATTTGCTGATTTTCTTTACTTACAAGGTCTTTGTCTGATGTTCATATCACAGTAATACTGGTCTTTGTTCATATCACAGTAATACTGGTCTTTGTTCATATCACAGTAATACTGGTCTTTGTTCATATCACAG